AGCACCAAGGATGTACCCACCACAGCTGTGGGTGCTGAGAACACAGGCCAGATACAGCAGTCTGATCTCACCCATTGTTCTACCAGTTCGGAAAGGGTATAGCAGAGTCGGGGGGTGGTAGGGAAGATATTAATGAAACATCCAAGCAATGAAAATATAATCTTCATGTAGCATAGAAGCTACCATGCCTTAATAAACACACGTTGTTCATTTTTAAAGCCATTCAGAAAACAGAAACTACATTTGCTACTAATCATGAAGATACCAGCCCACGGATGGATCTTTTTCCTTCACACACATGAATAGCAAATGCCTCATGCAGGGATTCTAAGAAGAGGTTGAAACACATGAAAAAAAAATGTTTTCCTCCATGTCCAGAAGAATGCTCTGGAAAGAATTGGTTCCTCTTTGTGCTAATGAGTTTTAGGAGAAACTGATTTAGGTTCATCACAGGTCCCTGTTTTTCAAAAAAGTTTCCATTTACTAATTATCCCAGTTTTTAAAACTGAGTTTACATTGTTACCAACAAGATAGGATAAGTTTCTCAGGGTTTCAATTTATGTTTTCAGCATCTTCTGTGGTTGTTGCTAGTAGCCATGAAATGCATGCGCAGTGACCAGAGTTCTCAAAGACTAACACCAAGTTCAATCTGACAACCAGGAATGACCCATCTCTATTCTCCTGACTCTTTTTCGGGGGCTAATTACCACCCAGCTTTAAAGGAAAGCTTTTGGATAGTCACTAAACAAAAGTGCTCTCAGATGAGCTAACCCTTTCTTGTCTCAGGCCCTAGTGGAGAAGCATGCGATGCCTCCACCCCATCTACCGCGTGGTATACCAGCCTGTGGTTCCAGGCCTGTAAGAGTCAGAAGGCTCCAAGCTGCCTGTTCAGAAGGGTTAGTGGGAAACAGAAGAAATTATAGCAAAGGTGTATGGTAAATACATGCAAAATTTAAGCCATCTCATTGATAAGAAAATAAAAAGTCTGAACACTCTTAGTAGAATGTTCTATTTCATTCGTGGTACTGAGTAAATCTGCACTTTTTCCCTTTTATGATGCTTTTTCAATAAGTAATGAAAAAACAAACAGTACATGCTTAATGAAAATCAAGTACAGATTTTCCAGTCATCAAGATAGTTGTTGATAAACTGATAAACATTTGTTCACATTTCCTCTCCACCCTGCAGCCCTGGCCACGTCACTGACATGTAAAACCTAAGTCACAAACCTGCCAAAGAAGCCTCAACAGCTGCTTCAACAGAAAGTAGTTACTTTAAGCAAACTTCTTCTGAAAACATGCTCTTAATACAGATAGCTGAAAATGTGCATTCACATATTTGTACATCGTGACTTTTCATTTAGATCAAATAACTATTCTTCAACATTAATGTATATCATGTTCCTTTCCAAAGTTTCATTATGCACGTATGAAAAATGGCAAAGTAGCTGTTAATCTGCCTGCCATCAAAGGATGCAAACAGACTATCAAATAATTGTTAAATCTTCTTGATCCAATGTATGGAAACAAAATAAAGTATTTGCAGATTAATTTTTCAAATAATGAAATCCCTCACATCAAGCATGCCATTGTAAACTGAAAGATTTAGTATTGTGGATTATTTCACTTTGTAGTGATAAAATGAATGCAGATTTTGATGGAATCACTACTGTTTTTCCAAAACGAAGGAATCTATGAAAAGAAATGTACTTGAGATTGGCTATGGCTCCTTAATTATTCATGATTGCATTCAGGCAAATGGTAATGCCTCACCAGTTGAATTAGAAGTCATAGTGTCCACATTTATAAATATGTATATGCAGTTGGGATATCAACAAGTTTGTGTGACAAAGATACATCAAATATAAAAATAAACGTCAGCATGTCAGGATGCGCTTTCTTTTGATTGCCCATAATCTGTCTGATTTTAGGAAGTTTTGAACCTGCGAAGAAATCTCAGTCAACCTCAGCATTCTCCAAGGCTATTGGATTCTTTTGTGAAAAAAAGAAATGTTTTACATTTTTGTTGTATTTTGATCATAATCGGTGGGAAAGTTTTAATCAAAATCTTTGATGACTGAGATACTGAGTAACTTTATTTTTGGAAACTTTTCCTGAATGAAAGTGGAAAAAAAAAAAAAAAGCTGGCCAAATAAAAACATTGAATTTTTTTTTTTTCTCTACAAAAGCAAAATATGAGGTCAAATGCTTTGTATAACTCAATTTTTAAATTCTACAGTTGTGCTTTAGATTATTTCAATTCATGATAAAAATCATTTGATATTTAATATGATAAATAAGCCATTGATTTTTTTGGCATAAATTTTGTTAAATGTTCAAATGTATTGTCTTGAAAAAATGTTTGACAGAGAATGTTCATATGAATGGGTACAAAAATATAGTGCCTTTGAAAATATTTGGGCTGATGTATATATATAGATTTCAATATTTAAAAATAGAATTTAGAATATTCTCCATGTGTCACATTTTTGTTGTGAGTTTTCAAGGTACCTAAGTGCTTGTAGAAAGAGTATTTCTTCATTAAAATTATGGTCTACAGTGAAGTCAATTAAGGTGTCAATAATGACCATTAAATGCAATTCTGAAGATGATTAAGAATAATTTTATGAAATTTTAGAAATGAAAAAATCATATGTATTAAAAAGTACATTCTTTTGAAAAGTAGCCATCACATGGGATTATGGATAGATACAGCTAGAAAACCAACTAAAATATATGAATGTATACCACAAGTAATCATTCGTGTATCATTTCAAACATTCAGATAATCAACATAAATTTGTTTTGTTTTAATGAACACAAAATACATATTTTTGTTTTGAAACAATGTATTAAAATAAAAATGAAATAATTTCATAGATCCACCACTATAATAAAACCAAGTTGTCCATTGATAAATATTTTAAAAAATAAATAATTCTGATTACTTTCACTCTTAAAAGTTATACAGGTCTGGTTGATAAATTATTCTATTACCCTAGATATAGTGGGACTCTTTAGTCTAGTGTTTGGATATTGAATACTAAAACTAAAACATCCAATTCATTAAAAAGTTAAAAGGACTTGTGAGAATAATTTATTATTTTGGTGTATTAATTCATACTTTCTTCACATCCAGATCCTCAGTATTCGAGTGTTTCATAGGGGAAAAAAATCAGACAACTGAAATAGGAAGTTCTTATGAAATTGAACCACATGGAAATTTGAGTCATTTTCCAAGAAATTGTTTTGACCTAAGCTCAATGTTACTGAAAAGAGGAAGCCACTCTTGCCCTTTGGGTCGAATTCTCCTGTCCTTTCAAATGTTCCTTTATAAACATGAATACTTATGTTGTAGACAGAGATGGGTTTTCACCATTGTGCCCATTAATAGATGCCAGTGGATTGCTGAGTATGAATGAGTTTGCTCTGGTAGCATATCTAATTTTTAAAGCAAACTGCTTAAAGTATTAGATTAGTGAGTAAGGGGAAAAAAGAAAAAATGTCTTGCAAGTTTGATGTTACAAGAGGAAACAATGAGCCTGATTTTTCTTGTGCAGAATGGTGGCATGAGGAGCACAGACCAGATGGTAAGAAGTTATTCAAACCACCCAGCACTCTTTATCGGAGAGGGGGTGGCAATGATGCAGTCTACCCTCTGTCCCTCCTTGGTCTTTTTCAACTAAGAAGCTTCCTAAACAGAGCAGATGCAAGAAGAGAAGTTTGTGCTTTTTGACATTTCTACAATGTTGGTGCTTTTACCAGCACTCCCTATTGGGTGCCGGGTGCTTCTTCACTCCATCCATGACTCCAGTTTGATGGAGCAAAGAATACGAGATGAAAATGATTTCTTTTTCCTTTTGCAACACAGAGAATATTATAAAAATGTCCTTTTAAATTTAGAAGTGTTTGCTCAATAATTTAGTACAATTCTAATCCAAGTAGAATTCTAGATTAGGGGGAGAAAAAAAGTTTTTTAAGAGTTGTTTGAAGTTTTAGATTTCATATATTAAGCGTAGTAGCTACAATGACCTAGAAAGGCAGGAGTTGCGAGGACACTGGGTAGGTAATTCCTGATTACAGCAAAGTTCATAGGGGAACTAGAACATAGCATCAGAATATAAGAAATAGTTAAAAATATGACTCTTTTAGGAAATCTTCTTTTCTCTAATATTTGCATAATTCTAGATTATTTTTATAAGCATTAGCTACCTAGCAAGGTAAAACACATTTAAGGTTTTTTATAAGCAATGTAAGGATAATATTCTTAGCTGAATTCCATTTCATGTGAAGAATTGGAGATGAGGAAGATGGACTTACTTGCTTCCATTTTCACGGAGGAAACCACAATGCATTGTCGAGCATCCTGCTGGGTAGGATGCAGCCCCCAGCAGTACACTACTGGGTTACTTTGTAGCATGTCTCCAGCAGCTGGCTCTGTTTTGGAGGTGGTTGCCAAAGGATGGCTAAAATGTTCTTTAGGACTACAGTGTATTTAAAATATGCTTAAAATGCAGCAGAGTTTGACTAAGAAGCCATAGTACGAGGAAACATATCTGTGTTTTCAACATGCCAAGTCATTACCTGCCGGGAATATTTATGAAGGACTGTGACAGGAGAGGGATAAGGTGAGCTTGCAGAAAACCATGTGCAGAGAGGAAATCAGAGGCAGCCAGACTGAAGGGATTGCAGAGTTCTCTGAGGGAAGCATCAGCCTCCACAGGAAAACGAAGCCCTTGATTCTGTGGGGCTTCCATTTAGCACCTCATGATATTGAGGTAGGGACTGAGGCACACTATGAGTGGTAGCATCTGAATGAGTGAACAGAGATTTTTTGGGGGAAGTCGATAAATATTTAAGTTGTAAAAAAATGTGAGATATCTCTTGGAGTCACTCTGTTAGTAAAAAACAAAAATAATTATAAAATAATTTCTATAGCAGGATGATTAAAAAATGAGGTAACTAAGTTAAATCTTGCCTTTATGATTCTTGTCTTTCTAGGAATCTGAGAAAAAGGGGTTAATTGAGAGAATCTATATGGTGCAGGATATTGTTTCAACTGTTCAAAACATCTTGGAGGAACTAGCTTCTTTTGGAGAAAGAATTAAAAAGTAAGTTCTGAATTTGTGTTGTGTTTGAAGACCACTTGCTATCTACAAGGACTTTGTGGGTAGGGTGGTGGGAGGTGGGATCAGAAAATGCCGAAAACAAAAGCAACAGTGTTGGGCCAGCCCCCTTTGACTTTGATTGACTTGTTTTTTGTGCTTGTCAACTTCACAGTTGGGTGGTGCCTCAAAACTGGAGTGACCACGTAGCCCGATTTATACCAGTCATCCCAGCATAATTATTAATAGTATCCCTTTTCCCTCTCAAAAATATCCCAGTTGGGTGATAAATTATAGATTTTTTAAAAATTACCCTATTCACAAATAAAAAGGGGAGCAAATTTGCTCCAAAGGAGCCTTTGGCATTTGAACCACAGAACACAATAAATGCCTTCAGTAGAATTTTTTTTTTTTCAATTCTCCAAAGAATGGTGCATAACTAATAGCATAATAGATGGACAAACAGGAAGTTAATTCACCATGCACATGGATTTCTTAGGGCTTGACAAACTTTCTCTGTATAGGGCCAGAAAGTAAGTAGTTTCAGCTCTGAGGCTTATAAGGCCTCAGTCCTAGCTGCTCAACTTAGCTGTTTAAGTGTAAAAACAGTCACAATTGATATGTAAATGAATGGCTGTGATATGCATTCCAATAAAACTTTATTTACAAAACAAGCTTTTACTCAAATGTAACCTAGCTTGCCATAAAACCAAAATGCTCCCATAGAGCCCTAGTTGAGAAGGACTCTAAAATTCATGGGTTTTGTTTGTTTTGTTTTATACATTGTGAACTCTGCATAACTTGGTTTTCATTGGGTACCATGAAGCGGGAGGTTTTCCTTCAAATTATAAACATTCTTATTTCCCCCTTTAATCCAGAATTGTGTCAACCATTTTCTCTCCGAGAATTAATTCTTATCAGTTCATGTTGATATGGATCATTCTAGTTTCTTTAAGTAAAGAAGATATTGTTTTGGAATTGCCTGGGTAAAGAAGACCTTAAACTTAGTGCTAAAAACCAGGCGAAAGTTTTATGCATTAAAAAGCAGAGAAATAAATGATGATTAACATCAGGAAATATAGTTAATATGAAACTTTCTATGAATACTGACCTTTCTCAATTGCATATCCAATGACATTGCCCTTGAATGTCCATTTATTAAATATTATAAACATAGTAAATGTTAGGTCCCGGGCTGAGAGGGAGACACATAAAGCCTCATATGTAGCAAAATGCTATTTATTTTGAACATCTGGGTATAGGTGGGTGGAGTCTGAAAAAGGCATCCAGGAGAGAAAAGGGAAGAGCCTTGGGTTTTATAGAGGATTTTTCTGGGAGGAGGAAACAAATTCTTTTCAAATAACCAGGAGGGATAAGGAAAGTAAGTACCCCTCCTGCTTTTCATTATCTCCCCTTATCTCCCTAGGGTCTGGCAAAAGCTACCTGCCTAATAAACCCCTAGAAAGGGGAGAGCCATGGGTTTTATAGGAGGTTTGGATGGAAGTTTGAGGAGGATAAATTCTTTTTTTTTTTTTTTTTTATTTCAGCAAATTATGGGTGTACATACGTTTAGGTTACGTGTGTTGCCCTTGGTTCCCCCCCCCCACCGAAGTCCGTGTTTCAAATATGTCCATCCTTCAGGTAGTGCGCATTGCACTCCTTGTGTATACAAATACCCGTCCCCTCCTCCCTCCT